TTCCTCTTGGATTATGGGGGGTTCATCCAAGTTTATATCCAAGTTGTTTATGTTCAAGTCAGAAGGCTTGGTAAGAAAGCCTTAAAGCCGGGTGGTATCTTGCTAGCTACTAGCTATGCATGTTGTGTGTTCATGTTGGACCTGCTTATATTCAGACTATGCAGTATTCAGACTATACGTTATTCAGGCTTGAATACTTCACCACCAAGAAAATTCCAAGTTGATGGATGATAGAGGAGGGTGAGAACTGTCATTTCAATTTACACATCCTTACACACACACATAACTTACATCGCTAAAACCACAAGATTTATTCAAAATACTGGTTTGGTTGGGGGAAAAATAATTTATCCTTTTTCAACTGTACTTGATTTTTCCATCCAAACAAAATAATGTTATCAGTGCTAATTCACAATGAATCCATATTTTTTATTTAATAAAGCATTTATTTATTATGTCAATACAAATACTGTTGGTTTTGTTTTAATACAGCCATTGGTTAATTAAATACAGAATTTTGGTATTCTTCATCAATGATGCAAGTTTAAAATAATAAATAATATAAATAAATAAACAAATAACACACATATTCAAAACAATCTTTTGGCTGTTCACCCACTACTAACAATACTACTGTCCCATACTATTGTTCTGTGCTAGCTAGGTTAGGATAACCTGAGTAATATACCATCTACTCTACACATTCTTTTTTTTGTCTGTGTAACGTTTCTCTGTACTAGGATTGCCAAAGTATCTTTGGCAATTTAATACCTGTTGTTGACCTTAGTATGATTTGAGCTGCTCATTCCTGTACATAATATTGAGAAGCCCACTATGTTTTTAGAAATGGCAAAACCTCAGAAGAGACGGTTGTATATTTAAATTGAATTACAAATAGCCTGTTTACAACATGACGTGCTCTTCTGCATTACATAGAGAGTGGATGCCTTCATTGGAGGTATGTGCTCTTTGACCTTTCGTAGTCCTTCTCATAAATGAAATGACCCCATCGAATTCCAGGACATCAGAGACAGTTACAGTATTAAATGACCAATGGCAGTATTTGTGGGTCAGAAAGTTTTGTTCTTTGCTTGTGTTCGCAGTCTGCTTATAAGTGAGCTTTCTAATGTCTGATTACCAAAATAGGCAGAATGCACACGGGTCTCCAAGAGCAGGTGGTTTTTAAATCACATTATGAAATTATGCACGAATACACAATTATGTTAGACAGTATATTAAGCTTTTCCCTTCTTCCATATAGTAGTAACCCTGGCAGAGGTACTTGTAGATTAAAAAGAAGAAAAAAAAGAATGCATGCTAAGTATATCGCAATATAAACGTAATAGTAGACATGTAAATTGTTAAATATAGTTTATTGTGCTTAATGCTGTTTTAGGTGACTGCTAAAGTATTGTTTTAAGCAATCTTATTTTAAATGCTCCTGTTGGAGTGCCCACTAGTCGTCATCCTTTCCATGTCTTTATAGTAGTGCCAGTTGCCAAGAGGAAGTAGAACTTCATTGTGGTAGACGATGTCAAAAATCGTCACAAGACTATTATCTTGCTGTGCATGCTATGTGTACTCACAGGTGAATAAGTACCTTCTTTTAGAATTCTTCTGGAAAATGGTACTTCTAGTAATATTCTCCATTGCTCAGTTATGTAAGTCTTTTTTCTGTGACGTAAAGAAACGTCCTGAAGATGTCTGTTACCTTGATTTTCTGTCCTGCCAAGTGAGCCCTTTAGTTTAAACCTGGTGTCCAAATTTCTAAGGAAGAGCTGGCATTTATTATCTACTGTCAATTTCTTTGTGCTTCCAGCCCTGCTGACATAGCAACTCATTGATATCTTTCTGTGAGTCTGCACCTTTCTTCTGAGAAGTGTAGAGAAATCACCAATGAATTTTGCACGTTCATGACATGTTGAGAGAGGAACTGCAGCTTTTTGCAACTTTTCAGTCTGTACTTCCCTTGATGATCAATAAGTGAAATTCCAAGTCTTCTGTAAAGCAGGTACCTCACAGTATTGTGGCAAATGCAGTGTCTGAGCCTACAAGGCTGTCTGTGCTCATAATTTCTCACAAGGGAGTTCAGATAATCAATTAAAGAAATCCATATCTCTCCCAAGCAACGTGCAATACATATTGCAAACAGAATTCCTAAGTCTGCAGAAGAGATTTAGAAAAGAGAACTCTACTAACCTGGAACCCTAAATCTTACCAGCTGACCAAAGACAAAAAAGTTTCTTTTTCAGTAAGTGATATCTTAGAGAAAGGATAACATTTTCAGATATCTGGATGATTTTTGAGGGTGGGGAAGTTTATTTCTTCCATTATGAAAATGATATGTTATTTTCTGTGGTTAGCTTATCAGAATCCTTAACTTCTGATCTAAGCTGATCAGAATCCTTAATTGAACTGTAAGCAACAACATGTTTTCAAGCTTACCTTTAGACATTACATCATTTTTTCTTTCTTTGAAGAAGAGCATATTTACTGAAGAGCCATGGATACTCTGTTGTTTGAAGACCAGTTTGGATCTTTTAATTCCTTGCTGGGCTGGCACTGTTGTTGGATGTACTGCAGTTCTTCCTGATTGTGCTCATTAGCATCAGTGCAAAGATGTTTCACCTCATGCAGAGTGTGCTTGGCAGCTGCAGGGTCCAGATGATAAGCAGTGGAATTTGTTTTCTCCAGTGGCAGCACATGGGATTGTGGCTGGTTTCCTGGCAGGCTTTTCAGTCTCCTGGCTAGCTGTAGTGCCAGGTGGTAAACTTGACTGTGGGAAAGAGGCAGGGATTGCCTCCTCATGACTAACATTCCTTCTGGTTTTCTACCATGTTTTAGCCATTTTCTCTAGCATTTAATTTTGTTGAGATGGCTTTTCATATTTGTCTTAGTGTATGTAACTTATCTTACTCAGGTTTTTTTTTTAATTTAATCCTAACCATTTAAAAACCACTCCTGATCTATTAAGCTTCCAGACAACCTTCAGCAAACAAACTTTGAGCAACATTTCCATTTCCCTTGTGACAGAGAAATAGTTGGTTTTCATTGTAATGGCCATTAACTTTGTGTTCTATTTTCTTTATATTTTTTGAAACTGTGTGTAGCCAAGTTCTAGAGGAACTCAAATATTAAGGTATTTCAGTTTGTTTTATCAAGGGCACTTTTTCCAGTTCTTCCCTTAAAATTATCTACGCTTCTAATGGTATTCCTGCTATTAAAGATGCAGTGGTTAGTTTTAAGGAGTTCCAGACCCCATGAATATTTCCAGGAAAAAAGACAGAAGTAAGAGAAGACGCAAACACACATGCAAGTAATACATCTATTCTCAGTCCTGTTAAAAGTTTGGATGAATGTGGTAAGTCGAAATGCTTATAATAAGCAAGTTATGTTAGCTAGCATAAGGCAAATGCTATGATAAACACAGCAAGCTGTTTGACAGTGCAGGTACCTTGTGTGAAAACACAAACAAACTTTTATGTAACTTCAAAGTGCATTGAAACATTCAAAAAGGAGATTTTTGTCAACAGGGAAGTGTTGTGGTTTGATCAGCTTTTTCCATGAAACTTTGACTTATTTTTCATTACTACTTTACTAATGGCAGAACAGCAGGGCAAGTTTCTGGGGGAAAAAAAAAATGACTTCTTCCATCTAGAATGTATACAATATTTTGTTCATGCCTAGCTGATATAACTCAGAAAAGCTTGTGATTCTAAATTAGATTGTAAGGAGCAGGACAGAGGTAGGCTTTTCTGTAGACACTGTAAAATGCAAAACTAAATTAGACTTGTAATGGGCACTTGGGTGATTTAGTGTGATTTAGTCAATGTGCTACTACATTTTGTTGATGTGTTTATTGTGAGATGAAGCTAAGAAACTAAATATACTCTGACTATAATCCGTGGTGTACAAGATTATTTTTCTTTTTAAAGCCGGTGCTGGTCTTCTCATGTCTCTTCTTCCTTGAACACCATTCACGTGAAACATTGAGTAGCACTCTGGCACTTTGTATATCTGAAGATCTAATTAACCACTTCAGTTACCTAAGACTAACCTTTACTTACTGAAGACAAATATCAGTTATATAAAACCACATGATGTGTTTAGGAATTTTAGTCACAGGGACCAGGTGACCTGCATCCTGTTCCCAGCTTACTACAAGTCTCATTACTTTAATCTTAAGTAAATCATTTAACGTGTCCATACTATGGACTGTGGATTCCTAAGGTATGACTAACAAGAATGGCCAAGTAGTAAAATAATAGAAAAATTATCTGCTTCATGCTTTTAAAATACTAGTTTAATCTCAAAACAAACTGAGCACCAGATTATAAACCTATGAAATCTTTGGTTGAAATGTTTAGATCATGTTGGAACAGGGTTGGAATTTGATAATGAATTTAATTTTGAGGGTGGTTTTTTTTTTTACTACATTAACTTTCAGGGTTTTTTCCTTATGTCATGAGAAAGAGTGATTTCCTCCCCCTTCCCCCCCCCCCCAAACATGATGAAATTGCAATGCATCTTCTCACTCTACCATATATAGAGTTTTTATAAAGTAAATATACTTACTTTGTATAGGGAAAGTATATTAATTTAACAGTCTGTCTGTCCTATAACTATCAGCATGTGAAACAGTTGTTCTGTACCAGGAGTAGTTGTGTTGATCTTTTTAATGGCATTTACCTCTTTTTTTTTTTAAAAACATGTTTATGTAACTTTTAAGTAGGACTTTCTTTTATATACAAACTGAATTTTATGTACACTTTGCCTCCAGTACAGTATATGTGTATATATATACCTCTAAATACAGTATATGTTTGGTTCAGAATTGCTCTAGCCATTCAATATGGGGGATAACCGAAGATCGTACTTTGGAGAGAAGGAGAACTTTGCCCTTTGCAAGAACCAATGGACATTTTATTCTGTATATTGAAAAACTAAAATGTTCTCTGTACTCATCTTTCCACATATAATCTTGTTTTAACTCATCTGTTCTCTCTTCATCTTGTTAATTCCAAATTATTTCCAAATATACTTTTTTCAAAAAATGTTTAAAAATAAATTGCAGACTCTGTAGACCCAGATCACTTTCTACTTACTTGAATAGGAAGATAACGGATATCACTAAGTTATCAGTAAAAACATAGGTGGCCATATATGCCAGTTTTGCACTTAATGTTAGCTAGAGTTTGAAGATATGCAATATACAAGTATTCCATGACTTGGTACTGCACTTATTAAGTGTAGATACTTATTTCATTTCCTTTGTTTCATAGATGATGTATATACACCTGAGGATATTGCCAGACAAATTGGCGTGGATGTGGAAAAACCTTTCGAATACAGTGATACCTGGGAAAAGCCAATTTCTGGTAAGGTTAATAAAAGAAGACAATATAGCAAATTTTAACAGTTATGCAAAATAAAAACACCACCTTTCCTACACAAAAAACACCTCCACTAAGAGAAAATAATTCTTAGTCATCCTCATCAATACACCTTCTCTTGGCTTCAGAATGCTACTAAAAGTGATAAAAATAAGAATATTTCATGGTCACTACTTAGTCACTAACATATGCCATATATTAAAAATTACCACCACCAGCGTTGTATTCTTATGATCAAACAGCCACAATACTGTAAGCACTGATTTTTTTCATACTAATAGTTTCTACATGGCAAGGGAGAATAAAGTGAATGCATAACCAAATTGTCCTCCCATTTATGAGAAAGTTTTGTTGAATATTAGGATTGCAGGGAAAATTAGAATGTTAGGCTTGAAGCAAAATAACGATGTGGAGTAAATAAGGTTACACGTTTTTTTACATGGGCTATACCAGGCTTGTCAATTTTACTTTTCTTGCAAGTCTTGCAGTCATATTTTCAAAACAATAAAAATATTTTTACTGAAAAATGGCTTCCCCAAATAGGCCTTCAAAAATAGACTTTTTGTATTTCACTTTTTTCTAGTCAGCTTCTTAGAAATTTTCTGTTTCAACTGAAAAGTTGTAGTACAGAGTGTGTTTGTATGCCACATGTATACACACAAACATACATACAAACATGTAAACACTCTTACATGTAGAGAATTTCTTCGTTTCATAAGCATAACCAAGAATAGATCTTGGTTTAGCTGTGCTTTTTTACTGGCATAAAAACTGACCGAAAAGAAAATCTTTTTTGCTTTTAGCCTTGGATGTACTATTCAGCTGCAGCTGCTCTTTTTAGTTAGGTTTTCCTTTGAAAACGTGTTATTAGATTTAAAAACACAGATACAAATATATGGCCCTGACTAATCTATAAACTGCTGTTTGCTTCTAATCCCTGCTGAATTTCCTTTGCACCTAATTTACCTGCACAAAGACAAAAGCCTATCTTGACAGCTGAGTTCTGATGTTTTATCTTTTTAAAGTTTATTCAATCTGAAGATTGTACTTTGCAAAGATTAAGTTCAGTGTGATATACTATTAGTAGTAGCTGGATGCAGACTGTACACTGAAAACAAGGATGGTGCTCTGCATTTTTTATTACTGAATGTCAGGCAGTGGTGTCTACTTAAGTAAATTCAGCTTGTGATTTGCAGAGACTGGAAGTTTTTTTATGCACATAGATTTGAAGGAACATCTACATCTGCTTTTACTCATGACATTAGATGTTTAAAGGTAAGCTTTTAGAGCTTTGAAGTAAGCCAATACCTTGAACCGTAGTCATAAAAGACAGTTGGGTATGGTTATGAAATTAGCTACTACTGTTTCGTAATTTTCTTGTATACTTCTGTGATCACAGCTCTCTTCATGAGGCCTTAATATGTATATCAAAGTTCAGAATTATAGAATCATAGAATGGTTTGGGTTGGAAGGAACCTTTAAAGATCAAATAGTTCCAGCCCCTCCTGCTGTGGGCACGGACATCTTTCATTAGATCAGGTTGCTCAAAGCCCCATCCAACCTGGCCTTGAACACTTCCAGAGAGGGGACATCCACAACTTCTCTGGGCAACCTATTCCAGTGTCTCATCACCCTAATAGTAAAGAATTTCTTCCTTATATTTAATCTAAATCTACCCTCGTTTAGTTTAAAACTATTACCCCTTGTCCTATCACTACAGGCCCTGGTAAAAAGTCTCTCTCAATTTCTCTTATAAGCCCCCTTTAAGTACTGAATGTTGCAATAAGGTCTCCCCAGAGCCTTCTCTTCTCCAGGCTAAACAACCCCAACTCTCTCAGACTTTCTTGATAGGAGAGATGTTCCAGCCCTCTGATCTTTTTTGTGGCCCTCCTCTGCACCCACTCTAACAGGTCCATGTCTTTCTTGTACTGAGGGTTCCAGAGCTGGACGCAGTACTCCAGGTGGGGTCTCACGAGAGCAGGGTAGAATGGGCGAATCACCTCCCTTGCCCTGCTGGCCACACTTCTTTTGATGCAGCCCAGAATACAATTGGCTTTCTGGGCTGCAAGCACACATTGCTGGCTTATATCTAATTTTTTGTCTACCAATATCGCCAAGTCTTTCTCTGCAGGTTTGTTCTGAATCCGCCTGTCACCTAGCCTGTACTGAGGCTGGTGATTACCCTGACCCAGGTGCAGAAGCTTGCACTTGGCCTTGTTGAACTTCATGAGGTTTGCATTGGCCCACTTCTTCAGCCTGCCAGGGTCTCTCTTGATGGCATCCCTTCCTTCAAGCGTATCAACTGCACCATTCAGCTTAGTGTCAAGCTGAGGGTGCACTCAATCCTACTGTCTATGTCATCAGTAAAGATATTGAACAGTACTGGTCCCAATTCGGACCCCTGAGGGACACCACTTGTTACTTATCAACATATGCACATAAAGCCATTGATGGCAAGTCTTTACACGGGGCTGTCTAGCCAATTCCTTTTCCTTTGAATAGCCCATCCATCAAACCCATATCTCTCCAATTTAGCAACAAGGATGTTGTGTGGGACTGTGTCAGAGGCCTTGAAAAGTCAAGATAGATGACATCAGTTGCTCTTCCCTTATACACCAACACAGTCACTCCATCACAGAAGGCCACCAGATTAGTCATTGCCATTATGAAGCCATGTTGGCTGTCTTTAATCACCTCCCTGTCATTCATATGCCTTGACATAATTTCCAGGAGGATCTGTTCCATGATCTTACCAGGCAAAGAGGTGAGGCTGATTAATCAGATATTGCTATAAGTTAGCCAGTATCTGACTTTGCTTTTAAATACATTTACTTTTTCTGAAAATTTAGTGTGTGTTAACTGAAAAATTTACATTTACGCTAGTTACGAGAAATGAAAAGATAGGTTATAGCACACAAGAATTAAGCTTGATGTGTTAAAAGTCTGTCCTAAGAGGTTGCATGCCCTCCTTTTTCATGAAGAGTGACAGAGTCAAGGAAATACATTCCTAGTTCACCATGCCGCTGTCCTCGCAAGAGTCTACGCTATCACAAAATCCCTAAATTCTATTGTGTGTCCTAGTTTACAAGCTCAGCCTCCACACCTTGTTAATTAGATTTGGTAGCATCATAGACCATCACCCAAATCATTGTGGAAGTAGTAGAAGGGAAGAGTAGGGAATCTTGTTTTTCCAGAGTGCAGTGTAGTAGATTCAACTGTGACACAGTCCGCTTGTGATGTTTTGGCTTGCATGTAACTGTTGCAATTGTGTTGTTCAGAAGATATGATAGAAACCACTGACAAGTCAATACTTGCACATTTTTACCCCATAAATATCTCAGACAACCCTATTCCCTAAATATGGACAGGGGGAAAATTAATCATGGATACTACCATGTAGTAGTATGTAGGGTATGATGACTTATATATACAACAATTTATTATCCTTTTTCAGGTCTTTAGGCATATTTTTTTCATCTCCGTCTGGGGATTAAGAATGAATATAAAACCTACAAATGCTATTTTCAAAACCATTACATTAACCTGAATTAACAGAGCATTATTTCCTGTGTTGTTCTGAGGGATTTAAAAAAAATGTGTTTTATAAGTGACTACAAAAGTCCAAAAGGAAAAGGGAACAGAGAAAGATGGAGGTGTTCCTGTTTGTATATTGTAAGTATTTCTAAAAAGGCTCTCGCAAATGAGTCTTTGGATCTGCTCCCTTCTCGCCCACAGTCACTCTATTTATAGGGTAAACTAAGGTCTGATATGTAGAGCCCGAAGTACTCTCTGTAGCCAGTAACTCAGTATCAGGTATCTTGCATATTTGTTGACATTGGCAGCATTGTAAGAATTATATTACTCTTGAGGATTTTCCCCTGTTAGGTACAAAATGTCTTTTGTTACATAAATGTGTTGCACATATCTCCTGTTTTTTTCTTAAGGAAAGAAGTGCAAAGATGAATAGTGAAGAAAAATCTTTTCCTTTGCCTTTCCTTTGCATAATAAAATCCTTTATAATTGCATGGAAAATACACTAAAATGTTTTGTAAGTATGAATTAAGAGGCTTAGGTTCTCCTTTCAGACCTCACTGCCAAAGGACCTTACCAGATAAATGTAATAGATATTGGCTGGAACTGCACATTGAAACAACCTGGTTGGGTGCTTCAGGAGTTTCTAACACAATAACTGTCTCTAACCACGTCAGTGCATGAAGTGACACTGACTTTTTTTCATTTTTCACTTTTGAACAGCATAGCATGCATTGTCCCTAATGATAATCTCCCTTTTGCTATATCTTTTGCTTCAGGCTGAGGGTGACCAGTTTTATCAGTTATAAAGTACAGAAATTTTGTGAGTAGGATACTGAAGATGTTTCCAAGTACACTGAGGTAGTGTTTATTGTGGGAAGAAGTATCCTGTTGGCTGCCAAAAAATTACTGTTGACAGAAATGCGTAACTACACAGAAAATGAATTGCTGAAACACTTGTACAAAATCCCAAAGGAGTTACATTTTTTCAGTGTAAGCTTGGTTTAAAACTCCACGGCACACACTTCCCAAAGAATTTAAGGCTGAAAATACAACTCATTTCAGCTCCTAACCTTGCTTCTCTGCTTTTGATACTAAACCAGACGTGAAACATTGTTTGAGAAGTCAGAATATAACTTAAAATGGGTTTCTGATTTTATGGAATTTGAGGTTAAATAATTAATAACGTTGTCTTGTAATGTCATTCAGTAACTACATCACCTGGCCTTCAGCATCCTCCTATACCTCCTGTCAAGCCTACACAAATGCGAAGAAAACCTCTGCCTCCAAACACAGTGACTGGTAAACCAGGGAGTCCAGGTATCTCAGCCTTTTCAGCATAAATATTTTATTATGTGTGAGATAATACTGAATGACTAGTAGGATATAGGAGAGTTTTATAGTATAGATTCTTTTCTTTAATCTGTGATATCTATAGAAACTAGTCTTCTGGAACATACAGGCCTTGTCCTTTGTCTTCATACATAAACTCTGTTTTCCTTTTGTTTTCCTAACCCAGTTAATGTCAAAATCATCCCTCGTAAGGGAGCTGAAAGCACAATAGCATAATGCAAGTCATCCTTCAAGAAGATCAACCTTAAGAACATTTCATGTCTACTAATAACATTTGCAGTTACTTAATGTGCATGTCAGATGGGAGATATTTAATATTATGCTTCAATGCATACTCCCAACTGGTTATTTGTAAACAAATTCTGTCCCATATATATGGCACATCCATTAACCACTGCAAATAGTGAGCTAATAGGCACCCAGAAAACTAACCGCACTGGGAGGTAGAGCAAGCTGAGTTATTTCATGTGCAAAGAGTTTAGCTTCATTCCTGTGCTACAGTATTCCTGCTTCTCAGTATCAGTATAGGGGCACACAGAAACTTTCACATTTCCTATTTTATTTTAATTTTGTCCTGAAGCTGATATTCAGTATCCTTATGTATGTTTTGTCTGTGGATTCTGTATAAGAATCCTTAGGCTAACGTTATTCCAGGTAGTCAGAAACTATCATCTCATTATGCTTAGCATCATGAGAAATGCTTCCCTCTTCATATTACCTTCTGTAGTTCACTGGAAATATAAAGGCCTTGGCTCTGCTGTATTTCCTGTTGGCTTTTTATGATTTGTTTCATTTGGGGCTTTGTTGCTAATAAGTCACCAAAGACCTAAATAATTCTTTAGTATTTTGTGCAGCAGATTAGAAGGAAGGATCTCTAAGATGGATGAAACAAGCTGTATATTTACTCAACAGCAGAGCCAAGATCGGAAAGTTGTGTCTATACTTGCTGTTGATCGGTGGTATTTCCTTAGTAATAACTACAACAGAACATAATACACTGTCAGCCTTAATCTGTATCATAAAAAAAAATGTTGACCTGATACATTTTCTTTTCCTTGTAATGGGGTTTATGCTAATTTTCTCCATTACGTGTATAATTAATTTACCAATGTTTTGAAATTTCACCCTTTTCCCATACAGTAGAGGCCAGGTTATGTGGTAGTCAGCAGTTACCATATCGTCTTAGGCATTCAAGATGGAATAAATTGGTTAGATGATCTGGTTCTTCCTTGTGGGGCCAGTAGCAGATTTTCCTTTTTCTGTGTTTCCTAGTGTTTTATCCAGCTTAGTTTTAAACTTCATAATTGAGCTTTTTCTGGTTCCCTGGAGAGATTGTTCCACAGTACTAACAGGAAAAATTTGCCTCAATGTTCTTCTTGTATTTTCCCTTTCATGATTCTGTCTCGTTTCTCTTTCTCATTAACACTATGATTAATTCCTTACTTGCATCTTTCTTACTCATCCAGTGAATGAGTATTATGGGAAGGTTTCTATGCACACATTAAAATTCTCCTGAGTTGGAAAAAAGGAAACAAGAGTGTTCCAGGACCTTTGTGAAACTGGACTCTAGTGAGAATCTTAATAAATTTCCACTTTATTAAGGAAATTAGTGGAAAGTAGGGAGAGAATCTTTACTATGAGAATCTTAATAAATTTCCACTTTATTAAGGAAATTAATGGAAGGTAGGGATTTTTGTTGTTTTAAACTTGGTTCACCGCAGTTCTGCCTTCAGTCACCATGTTCTTCGGTGTCATGTATGCAGGGAAGGTAACTACATTATGTAGTTCTTACTTTTGGGGGGTTGAGATTTCACAGTCATGCAGTGGTTATCTGGGAGTATCTGCATGTTTTGTGAATGTAGTTCTTGTCTTTTACAACTATTTTGAAAACAATCAAGACATCCTTTACCATGGATTGTTTGCCTTTTAGAAACCTGTTTTCCTTATTAGGTGATAACTGCTGAGGAGTAAAAGCAACGTCACATAATCTAAAATAATTTTTAAAATAGCTATTTAATTATGGGAAATAATATTGCCTCTATCAATCAATTTCTGTCCAAACTTACGGTGCCTACTACAGAATAGATCAGTTCAGAAAGAAAGCTTTTTCCCTTGGGTCATGTAGTGTTATAAATGTTGAAAATGTTGGACTTGGTTGCATTTTTCTTACCTTCGTCTGAAGTGCATCTTAATTTCATTTAGTGGAAGCTCCAGTCCTGTTTTGTGGTTAAACTCTTAATGCAGACCATAATGCAGGACTCAGTGTTTATCATTATACATGTTCCAGCTACAGCCTTGCTAATATATATGCTGTATTGAGAGTAGAAATGAAAGAACCTTACCCATATTTGAGGGAAGAATCCAAGTTTCTGTTGCTGGCTTCAGCTATTCTGTCTTACAACTCATGAAGAAATGTGCTCTTTCATTTGAGAAACAGAAATGTCAATGCTGGTCATTTTGCATCCTTTTACTAGTCTGTATAGGATGGTTGTGTGCATTAAACCAGGTCATACTCTAGCTGACTGAAGTCCTCCAAGACAATCTCCAAGTGGCAAAGAATTTTCTTACTGGGTTTCAGGAGTAGGTTATATTGGCAATGAGGACAACTTGGAACTTTCCTAAATCCAACTGGAAGCTGTTGTATAAGTTTTGAGGGAATATCACAGTTTAAATGAAAGTACATGTTTCATGAAGCAGTTGCCACAAATCTGAGTTCTGTCAGAAAATCAGAAAGTTGTGTCACTCTTTTAAATAGTGAATGGCTTGTTGCCACAAGCTCCTCCTTCTGTCACTATAGCTAAACCCGCTGGACCAACAACACCTGTGAGGACAGGAACATCATATAAGACGCCAACAGCTTTTGCAACTCCAGAGTACTATGGTAAGCATATTACAGACAGTTCTGGTTTCTTTTTTTTTCCTTTTTTTTTTTTTTTTTTTAATGAACATAAAGGTTTCCTCTTTTTTCTTTTGCTTCCCTTCCTTAAACTATGTTGATGCATTGTATATTTAATGTAAGAAGTATTCTGTCTGGGGTGATTCTGATTTCCTTTATGCCACTTTGTGACTTTTCTAACTTGACTGAGTTCATCTGGCTATCTTCTGATACACACCTTGGTAAATGAGAACATGACGTCCCTTCTGTCTTCCTAGAAATCAAGACATGCTTAGCAGGCTTTCAGTACTATTCAGTGGCTGCTTAAAATCTGTGAAGAACACTTCTTTTCCTGAACATTTCTTTTTGCACAGGACATAAATTCACATTATTATTTGACAGTGACTGATAGTGCTCAACATGGTTGTGATATCCTAGCTATCTGATCAAACTGCCACCATTTAAATAGAAAAAAATGTAATAGGGTAAACATACAGGTTAGTTGGTAATTTGCCCTTTATAAAATTGGGAGTGAACTACAAGTTCAGACCTAAATCTCCTCAAAGTGGCATACAGGAATGGGTTTGGGAGAGGGTGTGCTTAGAATTTTTGAGCCAAAATATGCAGTTCTAGGTATATTCTCATAAATAATGCTGTTTCTAATTTTCCTGGATTTAAAGTAATACTGAAATTCTTGTCTCCTTCTAATGATCATGAACTCACTGTGACCCTTAGTGCTCAGTAAAGCAAGCTGGATGCTAGATTTATTTTAAAATGCTTGTTGTGAATATACATTGTGTTTTGTCCGTTGAGGTCCATTGTAGTATTTGCATCTGAGAGAAGATTCTGTTGTGTATAGTGGCTATTTAACACAACACTGGTGTCATGAATCCTGACTGCCTTAGCACATTTCTGTCCGCCAGAGTATTTGCCTTCAATATCCTTCAAATTTTGTGGAAGTTGTACACTCTGGAGACAGAATTTGTGATTTCTTTGACACTATTTTCAGAGAAGTTCATGTGCCAACATGTGCTCTATATTCTATGAACATGAAACAAGCTCCAAGCTAAACAGCCAGTACAGTGCAAAAAGATGTTTTTTAAAAGGTCTAAAGAGCATTTTGCATATATTGCATGAACTGAATCCAGCTGCAGTCATGAAGTCTGTCACTTTGATTATGGCTATCTTGATACTAGCAGGTAAGTATGGGTAAGCATTACTCAGCATCACAGCCAAAATGAAGTCCTTAAAAGGAAAAGGCACATCTGGCAGCAAAGGTCTACCATGGAAGAGCTTTACCATGATTTAAAATGCCAAATGAACTGTGAAATGCTGCAGTTCTAACACTGAAACTTCGTATTTATTGCAAATTAAATTATAACTGTATTTCCCACAGTTGATGCAACTGTCTTCAGCTCAAGTCCTACATCAGAAACAGATTCTTCAGGCAAACCAAGGTACCAAGGTAGGATTTTAATAACTACGGTATTTTTATTTGGGGGAATATATGAAGACTGACCTATCTTGCATCTAAATTATCTTGTTTAGTTATTCGAAGGCCAAAACTTCATTTGATTCTGTTTCACTTTAGTGTCAGATAAAAGGGCTGTAGTGCAGACCATCAGCATATTCTTGACTAAATTTTAGTTCTACTTTTTTCCCTGCTACCACCTCCTAGTTTACAGTCTTGCCCACAAACCTGTTGTGGCTCTTCCTGTATGCCAGCAGTAGTACAACTGCACACTGTACACATTCCACCAAACCAAATGAAAATCTTCCTGTGGGCTTGCAAGTGTACCTGGAGAGGTATTGCCCCAATACCAATGCACCTTACCATGAGGGATATCTACCCATCATATATGCCTCACCTCTCATTCCAGACTGTGCACATTCAGGTAGTTTAGTAATATGGTAACATACTAGACTAGATAATAAAGTAGTCAAGTTATTGCTGTTGCAGTAATCTAGAGAGTTTAGCAAGGTGAGATGACAGGAGGAAGTGCTTTTGTACCAAAAGATTTTTCAGGTTTTTTTCTTGGTCTGATACGAGACACTATATTTCTGAGGACACTGCCTTTCTTGCAAGAGCTTATTGTTTACATCCAATAGAAGTTTTAATTTTAGAACTAATGTGTTTGTCTTCAGTAATCTTTCTAATTTTGATGTAGAGTACAAGATGTTTGCTTCAGAAGGTTTGTTTCAAGGTTTGGTCTTGTATCACTGAAAATGGTCAAGATTTTGACAGTCACTTTAGAAACTGCAAGTTTAATGATGGAATGACTCTGGACTAAACTTGTTACTCTCTCTGGTGAAACAAAGCGGTGATGGGCATTACATCTTTGTATTAGCATAGTGCTCAAAAGCTGCAAATGGAATTGTAGTGTCATTTGACTATAGAAGGACTAAAGTTAATTGTCCTATTTTATGACAGAAGTTAATTCCTTCAAACAGTGCTTATCACCCACTAATACCTTTAGAGTGATATTTCATCAGTGGTTCCAATGGGAAGGGGGTGAAGGCAGTGCAGATTCCAGGTCTAACGACAAAAAAAAACCCCAACAAGCAGCTTAATATTGAATATATGGGGTTTATTCTTAAACATTTATGTTTGGCTTTGACTTGTGCAGATTTTTAGTTGGTGCCCTGAGATCGTAGTTGTGCACTAGGTGAAATGGCATTGACATTTTGTAAAAACATTCTGTATTGAATAACAGCTCTTTCCTATTGCTACAGCCCCCCATGTCAAGTACATGAAGAAAGATGATGATGTGCCTTGCTCTATCACAAGCTCTCTTGAACATTTTCCTCAAGAAGAAGCTGGCAGCAAGGAAGAACCTACTCATCCTCCACAAAATCCTCCAACCAACCTCACAGTGGTGACTGTTGAGGGCTGTCCAACTTTCGTCATATTGGACTGGGAAAAACCAGACAATGACACTGTTACTGGTTGGTTTGATTTCTTTCCTCCATTGTATCAGAATACAGTATTTCCAGCTTATTTTTACTTTCACAGTGGTTTTATGCCATTTAAAAAATACTTTAATCCCAAGGGAGTCTTATACCTCAGTGCTTTTATTTTGTGCTACTGTCAACTCCAGTGTGGATAAGAAAACGCTACTAGATTAGAATGAGATTTTCACTACTGTATCATTGGTGTCAGTGATGACACAGATACTTAAGAAGCATGACTCTGCATCTTCTGTTAATTTCTGGCTTCTCTGTGTACAGGATCTGGTAAGATCTAGTCAAGAAGTTCCAGCAATGTGACAGTAGTCTTTATTATATAGATGCATACACATAACGTAGTCATCTTTCTTGACTTGAGGATGTTGTTGATCAGTGGACCGGACACAATGAAACCTTACAGTGTAATACTTGCTGTACCCACCATAGGGTCACCAAATTGTCTACATTAAAAGAATCTGTTTGGGTTTTTTCATTTCCAAAGGAAGGTTTTTGTATTGAGAATAAATCCTTGTGAGACATGCAGGAATCAGTACATAGACAGGTAAGCATGCAAGACGACCATTTATAATTTTTCTGTCGTCTTCTGTATATCAACACAAACTTACCAAAATTGAACATTTAAATTAATTAGCAACTGAAAATTACAGTTCTTCTGTACTGTCAGGAAAATGGCTTTTGTTTTTACCATAGACATAAAACTTTGATTTGCAAAATCACTGGCTCATCACAGCCGTGACCAAACGGATTTGGCTGTGTTGCATCACAGGTGAGTAGAACAGATAAGACTAGGAACTATGAGGACTAAGACTTGATCATTAGCCATTCACTTTAGCATGTAAGTGGGATGTTTTCAGATGTTGGTTTATATGCATGTCATGAGAGATTTCAGTGCAGGGGTATAATTAGGTGACTGTCACAAGCACTCTCTTCCCCAAATTAGTCCTTCCTTGATTTTCTAGAAATAATTACTAGGTTTAGCCTCTATTCTTTCTTGCTTTCCCTGCCGTTTTGAAAAATAATACAGGCAAAACCAAAGGGACATTCAAAAAAAAAATTAGCCTGCGCTTTTTTCTTCTGGGAAAGAGGAAGAAAGTTAGCCCTTCTGCTGGGTTAAAAGGAGAATAAAAAGAGACTGTAGGCAAATAAAAAGTACCAACAAGAGAGAAGAATGGTTACCTGGCTTGCCTTCCACGATGCGCTTCATCCTGGAAGAAAAGGAAGTGTGAGCTTATTGCTAACCTTAGAATTAGGATGAGGATAGGCTCTCTGTGAACACTCCCCATTCCAGGCAGTTCTGCAATGCTTCTTTTTGTTCAGGGAAAAGCCTTTTTGTTGCTGTTGTCATTTGGAGGCCTCCTCCACAGACCAGTCCTTAGCTTGATTAGATCAGATAATGTCACTTAGTCCTCATGTTTTCTTGGAAGTAGACCTGCTGTTTTTCTTGAGTATGTTAATGAACCCACTGCAGCACAGCCATTTGTATTGCAAAAATAGAAAAACATTTCCACTATAGCTGGTAAAACTGTCAGCACACATCATCTACTGATGAGAGCAAGGGCTAATTGCCTTCTGATACTATTTCCTTTCTTTTTCAATGCGTTTTGTGAAAGATAGAGCAAGCAATACTCACTGTTTCTTCTGAGGCTTTAGGTGGAAAACCTTTCTCTGTTCAGTTGTAATCAGCATTTGTAAGAGTTAACTTATCATGAAGTTTCTTCTCTTCTGTAAGACTATTCTGTGATAACTGAGACACCTGGCATATCCTTCTCCATTGCAGAAAAGATTAAAATCTTCTGCAGAATATGTGACTAATACTTATTTTGCTTCACTGAGAGAAACTGTAGTTTTCAATCTAGCTATCTTCCTATCTAGATGTAACAGCTTTCCCATAAATACCATCTTCATTCTTTTTAACTTCAATGTGTAATACAAAATGTTTGAACTCTGTGGCTTACAAATAGAATCATTGAGCTCGTCTTCTTCGTCTTCACTTCAAAAAATTACTCAGTGACTCATCCAAGGACACTTTCTGAATTCAGGAGAAGGCATTGAATCCCATTTTCTGAAAACAGTGATTACTTCATGTTGGCACCAGTATGACATTACTGGTTTAGACAGACTTAAACCAAGTTTTCTGTCATCTCTTTCTATTTTTGTAGTTTATACAAGTTTTTTCAATCATCTGATTTAGGCATCACATCTTTGTTTTTTTTTAATGCACTGTTTCAGATAGAACTGTGGAAATAGAAAATGTAATTTGTTGAGCCATTTTTTTTAAATGGTTACTTTGGTTGACTTTTAGCTATGCTAGGGGTTTCATCGTATTGGGTATTCCTAAAAACAAAATTGTACTTCAGTAATGGAAAGGTCTGACAAATAATAACCTAAACAGTGATCAAGCTTACCTCCTTGTTTTTATAAAGGCTGCAAATGTCAGGAACCAGGACCATTTTGCTGGTGCTCTGCTACTCCTGTTGTGTTGCCACAGAAATGTAGGGCAGTTTGTTGTCTTGTGCACTGAGACTCGTGCACTGAGTAACAAGCAGGTTCAAGATGCGCTCAGTAGTTCTTTGTGTGCGTGTGTGTGTGTGTGTATGCATGCACATATTTGCATGCCCATTCACATGTGCTGTGTTTTCTTTTCCAACTTGAATGACTTAAAAAGTTCAAGTCACATATTGATTTGGGGCTGGCAGAAGGCAGAAAGATTGAATTCCTGTAAAGTTAATTACTCATTCTCTATCTGGATGTACCTAAGGCAGTGGATATCCACTCTCCCTCCCATGCTTCCTAAGAAACATAATTTCTCTAATGAGGCTTAATTAGTGCAAACAAGGACCTTTGCGTGTTTTTCTCCGTGGTTCACTCAGCCCTTGGTGGCTATATAAGAAAAGGTCTTTGTTTCGAAAAAGGAAATGCATAGAGAGAAAACACAGATATGTTTTGCACAAACACATACTATCAATGCTAATGATGTCTTCGGTCATTGCATTGGGGTCCCTCTTGAACAAATGATCTAAAGTAAAAGCCCTCTACTTACTTTTTTTTTTTTGTTTTCCCCTCCCTCTCATCTAAGACAACCGTTCCTGCAGGTCCATGAGTTTGTTTTTAAAAGGCAGTGGTTGGTCTTTTGCTGTTCATGGGTGACTGTTGTGGGGGAGGACTTCTGAACATGGAAATGTTGAAAATCTTCAGTATCGGCAGTAATTCCTTCCTTCATGCTGACTTTCTGACATACTTTTAAAACTGTTTTAAAGTTTTATGTTGCTCTGTATATGCTCTAAATAACTGAGTCTATTACAAGGTAAAGATAAAAAGATGCTGTGTAGAGGTCCCTTTTGAAACTATTGCAGTAAATCTGAAATTCACATGTGCATACATGTATATAATTGCTCAGATTGAATTGCTGTGGTTTAGAAGCTTGGAATTTTAGAACATAATTTTTTAGGGCTGCTCTGCACTTCCGCTTAATTGCATTGTCTTACATAATTTACCCCAGTGGTTTTGATGGTTGTTTTTTGCATGGAAGAGTGCAAAGGAAGCCATAGTTGCACAATTGAGGTCAAAATCAGGTCAATTTGTGTGTGTATGCTCATTTACATACACATCTCCTACATTTACTAGGAGTGAGGATCTGAGAGTCCAGCAACAATTAAGAGGTTTTTTCCTTTTTAACACTGAATCCCATTGCATGTGTTTTATCTTTCTGTGTTGACAACAAATGGGTCTCCTTGTATTGAGAACTAAAAAATTTAGCAAAAAAAGAGCCCTACAGCTTGCTAGCATTTAGTTAAGAACTCGAAAATTAGTAGTATCATTAGAAATAAACAGGAAAGAAAGTCGTTTTCTAGAGGTTTTGTAGCTGTTGATAGGTGGTCTCTGTCTTTGTCCTCACAGTATAATACCTGCTTTATTCATTGTGCTGTAGATCTAAATGCTCATTGCAAATGCTCTTTGAAAACATTCCCCTTTGCTAGCTTACAATTAGCAAAGCTGCACTTGGTATTATAGACACGTTTTAGGAAGGGAAAAGGAAGGGGCTGGGGAGGTTGTGAATTTCTTTGTGAAGAGAGGAAAATTAGCAATACACTCAGTGTGTTTATTAGAAGAGGTTGTTATGAATTGGGACAGAGGTTGCCTGCTAGAGAGAGACTGTATCTTGAACAGGGCTGTAACTGAAGGGGTATCTTCTTCCCAAACATCTGTTGTTAATTCCCTGTTCAGAGTATGGCTTGTGCTTGATGATACATCCCAGTGAGATGAAAAGAAAGTAGTGAGACTCTATAAATCATATAAATACAGAAGTAAATTTATGCAAAATTATATCATTGTAAACTGGCAGATTCCCTGAGTGCACAATCCAAGTTAGTTGGGCAGTTTCCTTTGGAAATCTTAAAAATATAGGTCTTATTTTAAGTTAATCAAGGTTTAAGCATTTAGAAACTGTACTTTCATCTTTGATACTTTTTCATTCAAACTGCAGAATGCTTATACTGCAGTATAATTGGAATCTTGTCACTAGTGTACCTTTGGGCAGAGGTGAGATGTTGAGTATCCTTTATCCCATAATTGAATTACGAGGAAGGATGAGGTGTTAGGCACTCAGCAATCTGGAATTGGATCTCTCTTTCCTAACCATTTTAGCATACTAATGTCCAAACTGGTTCACACAAGATGTCCTTACAGCCTATTAGACAGGAGGAGTGGAAATCAGATGAGAAAAGAGAGCGCAATGAAGAAGCTCTAGTAAGAGCTGTTATTTAAGCAAATTTCTCTTTACTGTAATTTTCCAGAGTATGAGGTCGTGTCAACTGAAAATGGAGCAAGTGATGGTGAAAAGGAGAAATCGATTATCACTACAAATCAAACCCATTCTACTGTGGAAAACCTAAAACCTGACACAAGGTAATTAAATAAAATAATTTTCTAAGTTAATCCAACTAATTTAGACTGTCAGCTGTCTGCCACTTCAAATGAAAATACATATGTATTTAAGACCAAATCGGTTCTACTCCTGTTCTGATAGGAAAAGGTATGCTTTGGTTTGGCTTTCTTTTAAGTTAACAGATAAGACACATCTGAGGAATCCTTAGGAAATTTCCAAGAGAATTTATGGTCTGGATAAATTGCAGAAGTGAGCTGTTCTGTCAGAAAGATTAACAGTCAAGTGTAAGAAAACGTATTGCTCTTTATCAAAAAATCTCTTGAATACAGCAGATAAAGAAACAAGAAATATTAATTTGATACGTGAGATCAAGATTTATATGTACAGTTCTCTCTCTCTGGGGTTTAAGGATGCTCGGCACAACTAACGTAGGCTGGCTACTTGCTTATTTAGATGGATGTTCATTCAAATACCGGAATGCAATTTGGGCCACTGTACAATGCTTGATTATTGTATTGCACCATGGAGAGGAAAGATACATTTGTCCTGTATATGTAGTTTTCTTTCAGTGTCTTGAAACAGCTGGCAAGTTAAAAATAGGTCGGTGAATTCCAGTTGATGGCGTACATCTTATGCAACTAGTCCAAATAAGCATTGCCATTCTTTAAAAAAATAAAATCTCATTAAAAATTATTCTTCTTTTTTGCGATAAAATTCAGAGCAGGGAAGAAAACCACTTGTCCTTTGTTTGTGTTGCTTATTGATTGAATCAGAAAATTAATGAATGACAGGTTGGGTTTTTTTCTGTAAGACCATCCATTTGGCTTTGGTAACTGGATTTTTCTGTTTCAAATAAACTGCCCTTTTCTATTATTATCCTTAAATTGGTAACACAGCACAAAATTCTGCATAGAAGCCATCTTGAACTTTTATTTTTAGGCAACGTGTGATTTAATCTGGGGTGTTGGTTCTTAGCTTATGTACTTGTGACCAGCAGCTCCTAAGAGGAGGAATGAGGAACTATTGCAGAAAGTGGTGGGGAAGGGAAGGAAATTGGAAAATAAAGGCATGGGGAAGTTGTCATACACAAAAAGAGCTTCTTTGAGAGACTCTAACAGTCATAAGCTGGGCTAGAATTGCTGTGTATTGCATCAAGAATATCTCTGTTATTTCTTAAAGGCATGTGGCTTGTGAAAGGGTGAACTGCAGCTATGTTGTTCTGTCTTGTTAAGAGGCAATTAGGATATATTAGCAATACGACTGGAGACTAAGCATCAGTTTCCTCAATCTCTTCCTCAATCAGTTGAGAAGGCTTAGAAGAGACAGCAAACCAACATATTTCTGGAGTAGCGACTAAGAAAAGGCAGTAGGTGCTGCTAAACTTGTCAGGCTATGCTGTTTGTGTTTTCATTTCAGTTCTGCTTTGAAATAATACTGTTGCATCCTTGAAAAGAACTGTGTGTTATTGATGAGATTCTCTTCCATTGCACACTCGAACTCTTTGTGTCACATATGATGACAGAAAATGGGATGGATTTGGTTAAGTGTAGAAAAGACATGGAAGCAAAGAGAAGTCCTTGATGCTGAGAGCAATGTCCAGATGGCCAAAAGAGAAAAGCATTTTTAGACTGCTCTTTGTTCAGAAAGGAAGCAAGATGGAGGCAGGCAGACCCAGCTACAACCATTGGAAAGGTCATAAGGAAGGCAGGAGCTATGCAGAAGCAGATAAGATGGTTTTTAACGTTAATTAGTAACAATTCTGTTAATCCTATGAGAGGACTTTCTGGTTTTGGTAAGAAAGAGCAGACCAAAGACCATGGAGAAAAGCTGTCTTTTGGAGCATGGATTTTGCTACAAGAAGCTAGATATGAGATCAGTACTGACTGGCGGAGACTGACTTAAGACATAAAAGGATAACTTTTCCCTGATGAGGTGGTGGCTATTATCCCCTCCGCACCCCAACCTCAAAAGGGAAAGACAGCGAAAGGCTTTCTGGATTCCGGAGGCCATCGGCCAAAACTGAAAGCCTTTGATACAAATTGCAGTGGTGCATGTCCCTCGAGTCTCACAGGATTTAAAGGATGTAAAGTCCTTCTCAGGGTGGCTCTGTTTGATTAAACCCCCATTTCAAAATGTGTTGTTTCCTAATTTTGAGGACACCTTGAGAGCTTTGGCAGAAGCACAAGAAATTGTTACTGTTACCATTTGAATCCCGGCTTGTTGGCACACTAAATTCAGGGAAAATAAGGAAGTGATTAAGGCAGCTGGCATCATGTAAACAGTATCAGTGTTGTAAGGAATGGCATATGTCCATAATGAAAGTCTCCTGTCTGTCAGGAGCTGATTGCTCACTAGATGAAGAAAATGGACCTGTGGACAAAAATGACTGAAAATAGGAGGAAGAGAGACAATGAAACACAGATCAATAAATTAATTAACAGAGTCCCTGAAATGTCTGCAAATTCATCAGGTAATACATTAAGACTGGGAAGCAGACTTTTCCATAACTAGCCTTACAGGAAAGAGCTGTAGAAGAGGTGGAGCTGGAAAAGAAACTTGGAAGAGAAAAAGAAATTATCAACATTTACAAAACTACCAGCAAGTATATGGAAAGAGAGATGCTCAGTAGCAGAAGGTGGATTAACTGAGGAAGAACCTCTTGGCCTTGAAACGCTTTGGAGAAGCTGACAAGCTGAATTTGAGACCCTATTTTTTCCAGCTTTCCTGAAGCCATCAGTGAGGCTGTATGAATCCCCTATGCTGCTCTGAAGGTTCAGTGCATCCAGAGCTGAAGACAGTTCAGGACAGATCTAAACCAGACAGACCTAAACAAACACTTTCCAACAGGCATAAAAATGTTTGTGAATGTGGTATCTCAGTCTCCATGGGTAAATTTAAACCAGAAAGATCCTAACAGCAAGACAAGCAGAAAGCCTGTAATTCTCCAGATGTATGTTCTTGAGGAGCAGTACATGACAAAGATGGTCTGCAATCATGTTGTCCAAGGTCTACCATCCTGTTGAGGTAAATTAAGTAGGATATGTTAGTGCCTGGCCCAGAAGCTGAAGAGTTAATCACCCACATCCAGCAGGAGGGAAGCAAGACAAAGAGCTCTTCAGTGTGAAGGGGGCAGAACAAGCAGCAGGGAAAAACTGGGTGCATCGGAGCCTGCCAGATCATGCTGTTTGTTTGCTTTTCTCTTTTACATTCTTCTTTCAAATAGGTCATACTGCTACACCTCTGGGAAGCTCTGCAGTAAGTCAGACACCCGTCTTCCTTTGAGCTGGCCTTTTGACAAGGCAGCTTTTAAAGATCAGGAGCTAATAGCCAGACTTTGAATATTTAAGAAATTTGGACAGTGTTAGGGAGGCAGCAATGAGAGATCCTTACAGTCTCTCATGAAAAATTGCATGTGTGACTGCAACTGTCAGTAAGTACAAACATAGAAGTTAAATGGGATACAAATTCCTCTGATTCAGAGGATTATCATGTAGTATTCTGTGTGCCCATTTAGCTGTTTGAAAAGTGACTAGATCCAGAAAAAGAATGCACTGGCTGAAAAAGAAAAGGAGTTCTGACTTTCAGTACAGTCATCAAGTATTTGGTTTTAACAGACTCATACCATGCTAATATGGAAGTGAAAATGGACTTTCATAGGCATACAACAATTTGTGAGGGTTACTTTTAAACAAATAAAGTTGTATATATTATGGCAGTTTGTCATATCTCATTTGTCTTATATTATATATGCCAGCTTTATGTGTTCTTGATGACTTGATTGCAAGACATCAAGACTCTGAGGTGAAAGTAAAATAGTGATTTGAAAATCTAACTGTGAGGACATACACCCCTAAAATAAATGTGGGGCACAGTCAGCTGCTTTCCAACACAACTGCTTGATTTAAAAAAAAAAAAAAAAGCGTTCTAAAGGGTCCTGTACAATGTGATTTTGTTGGAGCACTGAGATCCCTATGTTTTTTGCCCAGGAAAAGGCACATTGTATCCATGCCATTCTTTCACAGTAAGGCATGCCTGACAGTTGACAGCATCACATTCATTTAAAGGATTTTTCCTTACAGGACGAATACGTTGGCCTCTTTTTCACCTGGAGAATTGCCAAATACGATGCTTGCAGTATTTCACTATCACATCTTAGAAAACTTCCGATAGTTTAAGTAACCTGGAAAGTTCAAATCTTGATATCCATTATTTGGTTGGTCAGAGTTCTTGAAACTGCTTCTGTTCCTGGCACTAAGCTGTTGTCTGGGTCCAATCTAAAATTCTGTTTAATTTCATCAGATATTTTGCTTTTGATTGTAACTGTTACCTGAAATCTCTCAAAGCATGCAGTGTGGTTATGCTATGTGAGCTAGATAACTATATATATCCTTCTTATACAGATAGTTAATTGGATATAACTGGTGCCTGAAGAGGAAAACTTTCTCTTGTTTTATGAATGTCTTCTGCTTAAACATTTCTATTATAGATGTGCTTCTGTGATCTAATAATCACATATACACAGCTGTTGATTACAACTTTGTACTGTAGTCAGCTTTTGTTACCCTTTACATTATTTCCAAGAATTTTAGAGTAGATCCAGGTCACATTTCACTCAGCCCTCTTTTCAGTATCACACTTAAACACACACCAAATTTTCTGCAGTTTTTGCCATCTTTATCCATCAATTAGTCCTTCACTTGTTAAATGAGTGAAATAGCCAAATTCCATTCATCCTCCTTTCTTCTAGTTAGTCTGAACCAATTATTGAGCTACTCAGTTTTTACTCTGTTGTTCAAGCAGTGAGTGTCTGTAACTACTGCGCTTGTTGATCAACCCTGAGCAACCTAATGTAGCTTTCAAGTCGTCCCTGTTGTGAAAAGGGGCCTGGACCAGATGACCTTCATAGGTCCCTTCCAACCTAAATCATTGTATGATTGTATCTTAGGGGTAGTTTCTGATCTTGTAAATCTCAATTTCACCCATTTTTTTTAATGCAGGCCGAGGTGGTTTTGTATGTTAA